TATCTTACAAGAATCAGCATATATCAGTTACGATTTTTTTGTTACAGAATTTATTTTTCTGTGAATGAGTTTGCTTCATTGTTATTTTAACTCACATCGATAAACATGAGCAAGAAAATCACATTCAGTTCATTGTCATCAAAAGTTTCTAGAATTCATTTTTTTAATATACTTGGATAAACTGTTTTTTTATTCAGACTTGTGATTTTAAGAGAACCACATAGCTTTATTGTTGATGTTTCAAACTGCTATCTTAAGTCACATTATGTTTATTTATACGTTGGATTGCCACTGTAATAACATTACACATAAATAAATGTTCATCATTGCATCTTCTACAAGATAATAATAAGTTCGATTTTCATGGTTTTTGAATGGTGAAGCGTCAATATTTAAACGCTAAATAATTTTTTCCCGTAGTGAAGTTCATCGAAAATACTCAACCTCATAACTAAAGAAAGGAGTAATTTAGCATATGAAAAAATATTTTACCAACCCTGATTTAGCTCTTCTGGGGCTAGCGCTGGTCCAAACAAGGACAAAAATGAGGGTTGGTTATGGGGTTAATAACCCTATCCCGTAAAAACCAACATTGTCAGAAAGACGTTAACCAGAAAGCTTTATTGAAACTATTTTAAAACTGCCATTGGGCTTGAAGGATCTTCCTTTAGAAGGGTTATCTAGCGTCATGGTGAGAGTTGGATTTCTTTGAAAGCCACGAGGTCCCATTGTAGCGAAGGAGAACACAGGTGAGGGCAACCGAATTGTATTTATCGCAAATTACAGAGTTACTCAGTAAAATAGGAAAACCATATCGTAACCGTTAATTTGCAAATCTTCAATACATCATCAATCTATTGTCTGACAGTTCACTATTCATGCGTTTCATACAAATTCCATTGTGTTCCCACTCTTCCTTTCTTGATCTTCCCCCATCTTCTGCTGCCAGACATTACGTTTACACTCGCGTCATACACTACTTATAAGTAGCGCGCACCACACCATCTGATCACCAGAGCGATAACTAAAATAGGTGCGTGAAATGTACGCATATTATAGGAGACGAGGAGAACTATTCAATTCGCTGAGGAAATGAAAATATGCAATCTGGAGATACTTTGAATAAATGTGACACATCCGACACAAACTGAACATTAAGACTAACTTTGGGTGTGATGCCAGTGTATGCCAGATGGTCTTCAATGTTATAGATGCTGCCCTTGCCTCTCCAGTCCTCGCCCCATATCTGCATCAGATCTACCCAGTATATCAGTGATGCTCCACAGGTAAGTAAAGGCTCCCACATCTTCCACAGCTTCCGTATCTGTTTGAAATATAGCGAATTTCGTGGAGGCTGGCTGAGGACTTCGGGACAAAACAGCAAGGTTATAAAAAGAAATCAGCCATCGAGTTGTGAATCAATAAGGATTTAGATCTGATTCGCGGTTTCTGGTGTTAACATGATTCTGGTTAGTGTTTTATATCCTTCACGTAATACTGATTAACAGCTAAGGATAAAATACCCTGAGAACTAAATAGGATGAGACTACAATGAATGTGATTGAGTGCCATGTGCCTTCTAATCAAAACCGTAAAGTCGATATAAGTCAATTTTATCAGAGGCTTCAGTCAATCGTAGAAAAATGTCCAGGAAAAGATATGATAATTTTGATTAGAGACCTAAACACGGAGATTGGAATGAACAACACTGGTTATGAAGATATCATGGGACGACATGGACAGGTAGGTAGAGCAGTCTGAAGAACCCATCTAACATCAAATCAGGACCTACAGACCTTCCACTTGATGTTGACCCATCAGCATTTGAAGAGACCAGCATCGTTATCAGACAGATCAAGAGCAACAAGACAGTAGGTCCAGATGGCATACCAGCTGAGGCACTGAGAGCAGACATCGCAGCAACTGCAAAGATAATCCTTGCTCTGTCCACCAAGATTTGTGAGGAAGAACAAGTACAAACAGACTGAAAAGACAGATACCTTATCAGGATACCAAAGTAAGGAGATTTCAGCACGTGTAAGAACTACAGAGGCAATACTTTAATCTCGTTACCGGAAAAAGTGTTCAACAGAGTGTTGTTAAACCGAATGAAAGATCCAGCAGACACCCAACTTCGAGATCAACAGGCTGGATTCCGTAAGGACCGGTCGTGTATTGACCAAACCGTGACACTATAGATCATTGTGTATTAATCAGCTGAATGTGACTCACGACTTTACATCAACTTCCTTGACTACGAGGATGCATTTGGTAGCACGGGCAGGACGACACTATGGAGGCTTCTCTGACAACTTGGTGTGCCTGAGTAAATAGTCGACATTATAGATTAGACTTAAAGATCATGCATGGAAGACAGCTCACTAATTTTGTTCCAAGTGATGACAAGGTTGCTCACTCTCAACCTTTCTCTTACGACTAGTGATTGCCTGGATCATGAAGACGTTTACATTTGAGGGGAAGCACGGAATACAGTGGGCAGTTCGGATGCAGCTCGATGATTTGGATTTTATAGATGATCTAGTTCATCCATCTCACGCACAGCAACAAAGTCAGGTGTAGCAGCAGCCTCTGCAGCAGTAGATTTCAGCATACACACGAGAAAAGGCAAGACCCTCATATACAACACAATACACTAACCGAATCACACTTCGAAGAGAAGATGTAGAAACTCCTACATATCTGGGCAGCATCATTGATGGGCAAGGTGGATCTGATGAAGATTTGAAGATGCGGATTAGCAGAATAAGTGCGGCACTTCTACAACTGAGGAACATATGGAACTCAAAACAACTTTCAGACAACACCAAAGTAGCAATTTCCAAAACATATGTCAATACAGATCTGTTGTATGAAGATGAAACTTGGAGAACCACGACAATCGTCATCCACAAGATAAAGGTATTTATTAACACTTGCCTACACAATACACGGCTTATCGATTGACCAGACACCATCAAAAACAACAGATGTGAAAAAACCAGATTCCATCTGAGGAATAAATTAAGAAAGAGCACTGGAGGTGGACAGGACACACACTATAGAAATCACCCGTTTGTATCACCAGGTAAGCCGTAACTTGGAATCCTCGAAGCCAACGAAGAAGAGGAAGACTAAAGAACACATTGTGCTGAGAATCGGATACAGACATGAAAAGAATGAATAGCAATTGGGAACGACTGGAAAAGACAGCTCAAGGACAGAGGTGGTTGGGGAATTCCGGTCAGTGGCCTATGCTGCATAAGGGCTGATAGGCGTATGCAAGCAAAACATTTTACTGGCTGACATACTCGAAAAATAGACTGTCACATCCATACAAAGTGAAATAAATGCTTTCCTCATCATTAATATCAGCTATTACATGCATCTCAAGAACATGGATATTGTAGTTAAAGTAATGATCTTTCAACATTGTGGTTATATGATCGAACTGTCCTTTATTTACTTCTGTCCGAGTATTACAATAACGTCTTCGGCATTATACAAACAGCATGAATCGAAATTGAGTATATAAACACTTAATATATGATTTACGTCACTTAGTCAAATTCCAATTTTCGAAGGTAAAGCGAAATATCTTCTAGTTCAAGATACGTGGGCTCCCAATCATTTATTTTACGTTCCAAAGTTTTCCAGTTATATGCCTATTTCTGGCTTCTCACTGACATATAATACCATCCCAGTAGATAAACCAATGAAAACCGTTGGATTGGCAGAAACATAACCTAAACAATTCATCTTACCTACTGTGTGTTGATTTGATCTTTCCTAAACGGATCTATTAACTGATAGAATGATCAATAAATGTATTCAGCAAGATATCGCTGTATGATAAAAATGCAGGAGTGAGCAAAGATTTAACTGATTAGAGTTTTGTCAATGATCAATAAAAATGTTTGTCTTTTTAGTTGTCTATGACATGTATTCACAGCTTAAGCAGAAATTAGGTCAATTATATCTTTTGGTTATAAATGGATAGCTTTATGTTATTGCAAATCCTTAGGTTGACTAACTAATATCAACTACTACTCAGTTCAAATGATATCAATTTGACTTCTCATCAATGTAAGCAAAACCTATAAAATATAAATAAATTTTGGAGACAGTTTTCATGTACTTTAGATGCCAAGTAAATCATCTTCATTGTCTTCAAATCATCGCTTACGTTATGCGACTCACGATTAATTATAAACAATACTATTGTCTGGTGTTACAACAACGGTTTACATAATTCTAAACAGTATATAGGAGATTTTTTTGGAACCAGTTTTGTGTTATTATTTAAGTACTGTAAATCATAGGAGGTCCTTGTTCAAAGTAAACATCTGCAGACTACAGTTATTTCATCATGATTATCTTTGAAGTATAGCTATCATATCATAGAATTATCAAGTGGGTACCAAATTATGATAAAGAGTTGCTTAATGAGACAGTAAGTCTTCACTGAATAAGGTGGTTGAGATATGTTTTATGTAAACTCAACCACTGTCTACCAATATTGGCAATGTTTACTGTTACAGAAGGAGGCTGGAACAAAGCTAGAGGTGACCATATAAAGATGTGACGCCAGTTCATGAAGTCACTCACTATTTGCTTAAGACACGTGAATAGATACAGATTATCTTGTTGAGACAGACGCAATAAAAGCAATCAGTGGCTAGAGACGTTGAGTAACAGAATTTAAATTGTTCACTATGATCCAGGTGGATTCCCACTTCATCTTCCTTTCAATCTTCGATTCCAGTATCCTTTTGTATATACTTTTACTCTGTTCGATTGAATTACATTCCCAATGTTTGGTCTTTGTTGTTGTTACTACACTGTTTAAAGCTCTTTCTTAACTCATCTTGCCTTACTCATACCACATGGCATCTTGGGCCAAAGCGTATTTATGTCAGGCTCCAACTTGGTCATGACTAAGTGAATGTTAATCGCTTACAAAATAAAATCTACTAGCCTCCTAAATTTACTAAATATCCTCAATTTTAAATAACAAACAAGAATATCAAACAACTAGATGTTGCTACATGATTACAATTTTATTCTTCATTTATCATATGTACAAAAGTATAAGACAGAAGAATTAATATGCCTGAAAATTAAATACACTTATGGCCAGTTGGCATGCAATGAAAAGATTCATGAAAATTTAATGCATTTTAAATTATCGATTGATTTTCTGTACGTTATGACAGAGCACTGAAGTTAGTTAGTTTCTAGTTGTTATATTTTAATAAATGATATTTATTTGATCAATTCATATGAACTCTAATACACAGATTTTTCAGAAAATACTGAATCATTTGTGATTTTATGTACATAATAATCTGTAGCTAAAAGTGTGCTTCAAAATCATTGTTGAGAAACGATCAATGAAATTCAACCAACCAATCAACTTGCTTTAAATTCAGATCTAAGAATAGATTTTGTAGTAAATCAAGTATTTTGAAGTAATATCAGAAACTCAGTAATCCCAAAAGTTGATGAGCTGTGTAATAATTATGTTAAGTGATTTGTCAATGGATGTTTTCATATATCTACCTGATAAAATATAAGCTCTATGTCATCATGTTGATAATATAAATGCATACACATGTTTTCAAAGAAACCTCCTGAAATTCCATGATGATGATAATCTTGTAATCTTCAAGGAAAATTCAAAAAAAAGTAACCTATACAGAAAAAAAAACTTATTTGATTAGGACCATCTTTTGTACAGGATAAAGAAAGCTTCATTTTGTAATCACATAAGAAAGGCTTTGTTGAGTTTACAATGTTTTTTTTTTTTGAGATTGACGGTTATCGAAGCAATGATTCCTACTAACTAATATGATGATTGTTGCTTGTGTTCTTCTGGTAAATTGGCACTGAACACCTTGAAACAATAATTGCCTGGATCTACCACAAGAAGTTTATTAGATGATTGATGCAACACCAAACCTTGAGGACCACTTAATGTCTCCAGTTTACTGTCAATCATACGTACATAGTTTCCAGTTTGATCAAATACCTGATAATAAATGGTAATTTAATCATTAATACGAAGTAATAAAGTTATGTAAGAATATATATATCTATCATCTAGAAAGTATTATTGTTGTATAAATTGTCTTATCGCATGTAAAAAAAACAGAATCTCTTTCAGACAGATTATTTTGAATAAAGATGCCTAAAGTTCAATATTTTCAACTAGAGTTATGGAGATTAGTGTTTCTACACATTTTGAAATCATCAATCAATCATTGTTAGACCATCATTGAGTAAAAAAGACTTTGATTTTGTTAACCCGTATAAGGAACTCTTGCAGGATTCGGACCCAGGTATTGTGCGCGAGCGCCGAAACTCTGGACGACTGGGCCGGCATCCAACTGTGTTAATGTCTAACTCTGATTGATCTAGGGATTTTGCACAACCTCACTCATTTGTTTTTGGTAGTTACTGCCTATACCCGACAGGGTTGAACTCCACTGGTCACGTCTCCTCACTAGAACTCCGAGAATTTCTTCACGAAGCTAGTCACTGGTGAGCACATTTTACGATATTTTCAACTAGAGCTATGAAGATTAGTGTGAGATCAGGTTAGGCGTTTACACACACTACCGAAGGTCCCGGGTTCGAATCCTGCGAGGTGTAGGAGTCGTGGATACGCACTGCTGATGAGTTTCATACCGGTATGTAACGGCAGTCCAGTGCTTCCAGGTTTCTAATGATGGTCTAATAATGATTGATTGATGATTTCAAAATGTGTAAAAGCTAAATTATAATAAAGGCATATATGTAGGTCAAAATTAACGAATTGAATTATCATATATCTTTCCATTTGCATCAAGTACCATCCTCGTGTAAGTCTAATCTTCAGTCATAACCATCTTATGGTTAATGTAGAAAAATTCTAATATCTGCTTGAATGTTTTTTTCATTCGAACGACCACCTCATAGAATTATATCTATGTTCATTTTATTTCATTAAATAATTAAATATATAAAATCTGGGTATTTAATTTCACTTAATCTGGAAACAATTAATATTTTTACATGAGACTGCATTTGTAATTGATTGATTAATTTTGTCATAAATGTATGCACGTTTAAAAACAGCCAATAGGAAAACAATAAAAGTGATTACGCTTTTCAATTATGAGAAATCAAATTGATATTGAGATGATGAAAGTATGAAGGTACTTAAAGCAAGTAGATCTCTCATTTATTTTTGCTTCCTCTAGTCATAGTTTGTGTTCAGTAATCAATATTATCTAGATGTCCAAAGACTAACAACTAGGTATCTAAAAGCCATTTTCTTAGCTTTCTTTTCCAAGAAGAAGTGTAGCAGTAGTTCATGACGTGATATTTCCATAAGAATATGGTTTCTGTTTGCAATCTTCAGGCGCAATTTTAAAACATTGTCATGCTATTATGTAGACATTGCTTCATATTCAAAATGTATTTAAAAATGTTTGTTTATACTAATAGAATAACCAATCAAGAAAACAAAATGGCTAAATATGTTTTAGCGCTGTACTAAGCTGTTCAAAACATCTGCTTATTATCATTACCGTGGCGTATTATTAAAATATATGAAGACAAAATATTCATTACATCGATAAAAAGTTTGAATTTTCAAAGTCTCATTCAAAACTTTAATATACAAATTATAACAAGGCTTGAAACATGAACTCTGAATTTTGTAAAACAAAAAACTGTTCATTGGTTAATCTTTTTGAACATGCAATTATTCTAATATGCAGTTATAGTCACAAAAAAAATATATGGATGAATTTCATTTACAGTATCGTGTGGAGTTTTTTGTAAGTTTCTTAATCGATAAATATTGTCATAAAATAGACTATACTCACCTGTATTCGATTATTCCCCCAGTCACTGATATAAATATGATCAGATCGATCAAATCCAATGCCCGTTGGAGCATGTAACATGCCTGGATCAATTCCATTTATGCCAAATTTATATAAAAATAGACCGTTTATATCGAATACTTTAATACAATGATGTATATGATCAGAGACAAATATTTCATCTCGTGAATTTACAGCTATAAACACTGGATTGCCAAAATGATTATCAGCTAAACCACGTGCACCGAAACGATTGATAAATTTGCCAGTTGGCTTGAAAATACATATCATACAAGATTTTTGATCGACTACTACGATACGTCCACGACTATCAACAACCATACCTTTAGGACCGGATAGGTAACGTTGACCAAATCTAGACATGTAATGTCCACTTGTATTGTATACTGTGACACAATGTAAATCATAATCTGAAACTAGATAATTCCCATTGATTGTTTCTGCTACATCCACTGGTCGCATTAATTGACCAGGATGATATCCATACTCTCCAAAATGAAAGATAAATTGACCTTCAAGTGTGAATACCTGTATAGAATCAACAAACAGCGGCAATAAAAATTATATGAATAAGTACAGTAGCAAAACAAGTTGTTATCAGTAAACAGTGGTGGAATGTTTTTCCATAAGTGAGGTAAACTTTTGTTTGACAGTCATTCAACTTAAACAGTTAAATCAAAAAATACAAGTAGGAGCTTCCTCTCCATAAACTAGATGACTGAATCATCACTTGTTGAAACATACCATTTAGAATCAATATTTCCCTCGAAAATAACTACCTAAGTTTCATATCTTTCCCTATTGCACTTATTCTGAACATATACAATGACTTGAACATAATTTTCATCGTTAACTGAAATCATCCACTGAAAACCAGGCAACTGTAAACAAGTGTTTTGTTCGAATCTGAGTTTCTTCTGTATAGATCACTCATTACTCAGTGAGAAATTGACAAAAAGATGACTATCAGGTCTCTTCAACTAAAAGCTGAATTTAGGTAGTCCATAATTCTATATTTTTTAATCACACGTATTGACTCAGTTCAGTAATCCACCTTTTTTTAAGGTGAAAAGGGGAAATATAAGTTTGTTCAATATGGTAGATATCCTTTGCTGACAAATGCAAACTAGTATGAAATCAAAATCTATATCTTCCTATCGATTGCTTCGAATCACCATAGATCAATTACAACTTCGTACAAAAAAAACCTCACATATATTCAGTGAATTATTTCAAATTGTATGAAACTATCGATGAAAACAAATGAAATTATGATTTTTAAAAATTAACCAATTGTCATTGTGTCACGTTCATTATTTCGTTAAATTGAAATTCACCAAATTAATTTGAGCATTTTATTTGAAAATATGTATCCAATAAACCTTTTATAATAAAAGGTCAGGTTTCAAAATCGGAATATATATATAAACTAAGTTGTTCATTGAACTTAGGATTTAATAGATAAATGTTACTGAAGGTTATCAGCCAAAACTATTTAACCAGGCTTAAATAACAAACAGTGTAATCCTTTTCAAAGTAGATATCATATACAGCTTAACAATACAACTATCCTTATTTAACAGTAAATTTCTTGCATCAACTAATGATGTTTAGTGTAGTTCATGTGAAATGCGATTATCAAATTAATCAGTAACATGTATATGATTCATTCTGAAACCCAGTTAAGGACAGTTTAGTCACTGACAAAAAACAGTATTAAACAGTCAACTGACTATTTATTATCATTATTATTACTATTATTATTACGAATAATATTTCTTCTAGATTATTCTACTTGTCGTTTGTCTGCCATTTTCAAAATTTTACTATCCTTTAACGTTTTTTTTTTAACTTTAACTATAAACCTACCTGTCATGTACATAAAGTGATCACATTTATTTTCACACTTAAACAAATATTATCACATGATAGACATAAATCATCATAAAAAAGCCCTACTTTTATAACTTAGTCAGAAACAGAATGTACAAGCATCATAAAAATAATAACTGTTAGACAAAAGATTTTTCTACTAAGTGGTATTTTGGACTTTAACATAGCATGTATAGGATGTAAGTATGTCATTTTCGTAGAGTAGACTGTCAGCATTAATTGTCGTCGTAATTATAATAATAATAATGGCATGCATAAATTACCATACCAAGTAAATGAATGAAGAATAACAATCAAAGTACTTCATTGAAAAAATGAAATAAAAATTCCTCACTTATTATTGAAACATAATGAAAAGGGAAATGAAGAATTAATTTTTACAAATGTATTTCATCTAACTGGATTCATTTGAGATTCAGTAATTAATTTAGATAATAAAATGAATGAATAAAATATCTGTAAAATGATTTTATGATTTCTATTATTGCTAAAGATAATGTATAGGCATATATATATATATATATATATATATATATATATATATATATATATATATATATATATATATAAATGTGACTAGTCGTGGAATTCACGACATACGTTCCATCTTATTTGATATTCACCAGGTGAATGTGCCTGCATCTCATAGTAAATGTTCACTTTGGGCTTATAAAGCAATTCTCTATAAACATGAGACTATGACTCTGTCTTGTCAGTCTGCACGGGATGCAGTTTAGCTAGTGTAAACATGAACAGAATGGATCTTTTAAATATTCGTTACAGTAATTTAAGGAAAATACCTTCAATGTATAAATATATATATATATATATATATATATATATTTACTATGAGATGCAGGCACCTGATGAATATCAAATAAGATGAAACGTATGTCGTGAATTCCACGACTAGTCACATGCTGTCTATTCTATATTAACATGAAATGTATTAATTGTATTTACATAAAGTTTCTTCATTACAGATTTTCATAAATTTACCTAAAACTTTCAGTATTCATTGTTTTTCAGAGTGATTTTGAGAGGAGGAAAAATAGTTTAAGATTAAGTTAGTGTTAACCATGTAAAAATGTGTAGAAAGCTAATTGTTGAAACGCCTCCTAATTTTTTACTGTTACTCCTTATGACTCATTTTTGTCACATAATTGATTATTTTTAAATACACGTATTTGATTTAATTTTCTTGGCTAAGTTAATTTAGTCCTTATTCATGAAACACAGTTATAATTGATTACGTCTTAGAAATGATTAAAATCTCAAAGAATCCTTTTTAAAAAAATTTGCTAAAAGAAGACTGTTTTACTCTAACAATCCTCATGTAGTACACGCACTAATAACTTTCTGCACGTTTCTACCGACAATTCTAACACCTTGCTTACTTAAGAGAATTCGATTACTGTAGTTTTTAGGCTTTCGAGATCCATAATGTTCCCACACAGAAGCACTAGGATAATGTAGAGATGATAAAACATGAAACGATGAGGCGGCTGACTTATGCAAACTTTTTAGGAATGCTTTTAGAGATGAGCACGGAAATAAAAACAAGTATTATGCAACAAATCGATGGTATTTTGAAGAGATTAATGTTTATTTATCAAAGAGCTTATAAAATGAAGTTTATATAGGTTGGGTTTGAGTATACATTAAGCAGATTAGACTAAAAAAACACAAAAATTGATCTTCATGAATTTGTCAATACTTTTTCTCTTGTTTTCAGTAATAAGTTCAATGAAATATTGATATGACAGAATAAAAATGTAGAATTATATTTTTACCTGACTGAGACTTTTGTTCGACAATAATTTCGTTGTTTTTAATTCATGAGAATATATTTGGTTTATTTCAGTGTCATGTTTATTCAGGATATGACAATCAATATATTATTGTATTAATATGAGCTACATTCAGCATGACGTACAGCATACAGTTTGTCATAATTCAGGTTATTTTTCACATATGTAACTTTTTTGTAATTAATAGTCAAATGGATGTATTTTCAATCAGAGTTGTTGTTGTGTTTCCGATTGAATGCATTTTCATGTATACCAGGTTTTTGTGTTCTTACTTACCGACGTGAGAACTGTTGTGGTTACTTGTTCAAGGTATAAGTAATAGAATAATGTAGATAAAACCTTGGTGACCACCCCCATTGACAAAAACATGTGACCAGACATAGAAAGTATGAAGTAACGACTGGACAGTTACTGAATATATTGTTCAGTCAGAATTATTCACAATTGAACTAGACTGAAAGACTTTTTCTTTTCATGTAATGAGTCCTATTGTCCAAAAAACAGTAGTTGATCACTAAAGACTTTGACTTCTACTAGTAGTCACCATTACTGTGTGTAATTGCACTAAAATAGCTTATTTTAATTGAAAATTAATACGACACCAGAGGTCTAACTCTTGAGTACAGTTTTTTTAGACAGTAAGTTATCACTTCTTGATATATTTTAGAAAAATTGGTTCCGTTAACTGACAGAATATATTTTTTTAAAACTCTAATAATATGAGTATTGTATGGAAATGCTTATGTTCAAATGACTGATAATTTTTTTATATGACAGTAAAAGAACACAACCAACTAGGTAATAGTGAATTCATAATTTATATAATATTTACAAAACCGCCATAATAGACGCTCTGACTAAACTTAAATTAAATAAGACAAATATGAAACTTAAAATCATATTTTAAGATCGTTACCACCATAGCTTCGTTATGTCTGATAAATCATCTACACTTAAGCAATTCTAGACAAATAGATTGGTTAACCATAGAACTGATCAAAAGTACACACCTGTAACTGATACTGAATTCAGGACCTTAGATTTCAGCAGTTTGCTCAGCAGATTTCATGTAATTAGTTGCTCAGACTACTGAGAGAAAGCATTAGAGTCATCTGATTTCAATAGCTGAAATTTTTCTACAAATATAACTTTAAATCTTATTTAAACCCCTATGGGAACCCAACTATGTGAAGGTGATCTTGTAAAGTTTGGCTGAACTTCATATGAACAATCATCAATTCAGTTCGTTATTCTTTTTAGAATTTCATTAATTTTCGTGTACATGAAATCATAATTTCATTGATCTCATTTACTTTTTTCTAACACCAGATTTCCAATTCAACGGTTAAATATACAAGCGAACAAAAATAACCACGGTGAATTCACTAATATCTGAATTCATGACAGAAACACTAAATCAGAAACTGTGAACTTCAGTCTTCCTAATGATTAAACCGAACGTTTGGATACACTTTATAAAAAATGAACAACTGGGAAAGACCTACACTTTTGATGAACAACATCTTCGACTATATAAAATTCACAGTGGAAATGGAGTCAGATAACGAACTATTGTTCTTGGATATGTTTATCATCAGAGAGAACATGGGAAAACTCAAAGTATATTGGAGGCCTATCCACTCTGATGATATAATCACTTGCTATGATTATTCATTACAGTCATTTAAAGAAAAGATTAAATGTGAGAAATCTAACCTAAATGTAAACATTTCCAATTAATACTATAGCAACACTAATATGTTTGTTTGTCAAGATAATAGTGACACAAATCATTTCAAAAGATAATTATCTACGCAATAATTGACTGTAATTAGCTTTAACAAACTACTTAAATATAACATGTGGAAAAATCATAGCCAACACAATTAACTGACTTTCTAGACATAGTTTATCAAAGCAGTTATAGAAAAAATCAAAAATGAAAATCGACTCTATTGAAAGAAAAAGTATGGATTGAAACAGTTAAAAAAAATTTGAATAGAGAAATAAGAAGACATATTTTGTGAGATAGTACCATTTCGTGCTTTCTCGTCAGTCACATACAAGCAACATGTTATTTGTGTAAATACAGTTTTGAAGATAAGGTCAAAACTTCTTATTTAGCATGACAAAATATACAGCCTACGATTTCGATACTAACAGATTATACTTATCACTGTAAAGGTTTAAATTTCCCAATAGTCAGCACTGCAAACTTTTATAGGTCAGTTCTTTTTTGGTTTGAGTGCATCTTGAGCGAACCGTCTATATTTCACTATTTAGTCATAAATTTTTTTTAAATAAAATTTGTATAATGGCTAGTGATGGAATCTAAATAGTGTATTCCCTCTTATTTGGGACCCACCGGCTGGACGTACCGGGATCCTATTCACCCTATGACTTAGACCCAGTACTGAGTTCAAATAGTCCATATATATATATATATATATATATATATATATATATATATATATATATATATATAAACTGATAATAAACTTAACATATTCATTTAACAATACATCCTTGATTATGTTCATTTGATCATTTAAGCATTTACTAGTTATAGATTAAGTTTATCTACGCAACAAATTAACGTGGTGTTCAAAGATTTCCAGTTAAATAATATTTATAGATTGAACAGAAACTAAATGAATCCTATATAAACAAACCAATTGAGAAAAGTGTTCTTTTTATATATAAAGTTGAAATAAGTAGTATTTTACATACCTTAATTCAGGTATTCAAATGATTAGTAAATGTCATAAATCATATATCATCGAGAGTTCAAGTTTCAACAAATTCCCTAATCCATTACTTTGATGTTTAGTGAAAAATAGCAAACTTAAAAAGTAATCCTTAATAAATTTACATTTGTGATCGATCAATTAATTGTTGATGTGGAATGTAACACCAGAACGTTTGAACAAGATATAAGAGGATGAGTTTGTTGATACTTACTAAAAAAAAATTCAAATGCTACTCTTCTTATTCAAGTAATTCTAGGATTTTCTAAATTCTTATTGATCGAAAGACATTTCTAACAGAATTAACTAAATCCAACCAAAAAAAATTTATTACTGACGTAATTTTATCACCAAACTGAAATCTACCACTAAGAAAAACTCAATTTTTATGTCAGTTAAACTTAAAATCAGTGACAAAGTGCTTCAAAACTGAATATGATGCATTTCTAATTACTTGAAGCGAATCAATATCATGACTGACAACAACATTAGAACTAATTTTTTTTTTAATTTAAAACTCAGTTGACAGTGATCACAAAAGTCATAAGTGTTGTTTACTGTTTTTAAAGTAAAAAATTGAACTATTTCTTCTCAAAGTTAAAATCTTAACTGCTTTCATACATAGATAGGATGAAATTTCAACGATACAAAAATGCCTTTGCATGTAAAAAAAAGGTCCAAATTGTAAAATCGAATACTAGTTTCAATCACTAGAATCTTCTTCATTTTCTAGGTTTCTTATTAATGATAAGATGTTATGAGTTCCTTAATCAGGGGATTATATGAATTACTTCAGTTCAGTATTTTTTTATATTTGAATGTTATCTCTAATGCTTATTGGCAAGTTATTTTAACGAGAAGTAAATCAAGTCCAGAGTGAAGTGAATTCATAATAATTAAATTAGATGATATTCACGTTACACTAAGTAACAGCTGAAGTCAAAAAAAAATTTAATGAGCCATTGGATTGTGAATCTATGACTAAGGGATACAGTATTCGTTTGTCGCTTTAGGATCATGTGGTAAAAGAGTTCCTTAGCTAGGACGTAAAGTCAGCACTATCTAACAGTAGCACCACATGAAAAATCCTAAAGTCAAGACCAATGATCATCATCATCAATGAGCATTATCGATAAATTAGATAACTCAGAGAAGTCGATAACTTTTTGCAAGAATCCTCTGGTGTCATAAACACTTGAGAAAATATAATTTAATGAAAGGAAAATACTATAATTTATAAAATACTTTATACACAAACAAACTTTCACAATATATCATAATAAAATGTATAGTCAAGTGAAAATAATTCAAGCTGGCCATTTACTAAGAACATAATATTTTCATAAACTTGAAGAAAAGCATCTGTAGTGGAACGCTTCTACGAAGAAAATACGATTTGTGAAAAATAAACATTATTGTACTCGTTTTGTCTAACTGTACCAAAAACAATTATACGACTTCTTGCGCGGAACGTTCTCTTCGCGTTGCTGCTATCTTTCTCTATTTGCTGTTCCCGATGTAATGCCTACTGTCTCCTTCAATAAAACCTTGGAATATGGATTTATTTTGCTTTTAATCATGACGGGATATTATGGAACATTTAGTGGTGAGCATAGTCAATTTGGTATCCTGACTCGCTCACTACACATCTTTAACCAGTAAATTTATTCTGATTTTTCAAAGTTACCTAACAAATAAATACTTTTTTTCATCTAAGTGTGTAATCCACTCACATTTACAATCAATGTTAAATTACAAAAAATTTTGTTTGATATAGTATATATTTATACGTATGAACTTGTTTTTATGGATAATTTTCATGAATAGTCTAGGCGAAAAAATGTTTGTCTTCTTAAACATGATTACCTGGATAATATAAATCTTTTGCTAACAAGTCTAACAGTGTTATTAACCTAGCTAGCTAACATGTAAAATTCATATTTAAGATTTTTAAAATTATTTCAATTATTAGATCATATAATTTAAATTTTTATTACTTCAGTATGTTTAATCTGATTTCTTTAAATAAAAAGATGGTATAACAGTCAACTGGATAGAATATAGCGACAAATGTATCAAATTTAAATTCTTGTTGATGTTAGAGAAAAATGAAGCCCTTTTCTATTTGTTGAATTTGCAAGACATTTATACACGAACAGAAAAATAAACATATAAATCTTGAATATTTGCGAGAAAGAAAAGGCTATTTATATATATTGTTACGACATTTTTGTAAATATTTAAATCGTTCCTTTTGTTTTAATTATATGCTTATTGTTTAAAAAATTGAGATTTTTTGAAAAAAAATTATTCCATGATCGGCTGATGGATTAAATGAATGAATCATAAATAAAACATTCGTGCAGCCACTTTTTCGAAAAATTACTTCTAATTATACATAAATTCTAATATAACTCCGTTATAAATATATATAGAAAACTAGCGGATAAAGTACTTGGTTAAGTAATAATAGTAATAATAACAATCATGATAATGATACTTGGTACTGCAATGAAAAGCATATTCAACTATAACAAATAAAACAAACTTACTTGAACAAATGCATTGTTACTATCAGCGACAAGTATTTTATTTTCTCGTGTTACACATATTCCACATGGATTAGCGAATTCACCATTACCTCTTCCTTTCGTACCAACAGAATATAAAAAGTCACCTCTTTCCATCTTATGTAGATCAGCTAATGCTGTTGGTTGATCTGATAGATTGGAATAAACAGGTGCAGATTGACTACGCCTTCTTGATTGAATTCTGTGTTTTGTACGGTGTGGTAATTCACTAATTTCTCTCATTGTTTCAGATATTGCTTGTAGACTTGCTTTAGGAGGAGTATCAACACTAATACAGTAGGGTGATCCTTTAATATGTTCACCAAATAACTTAATTCTTAAATCGTATAAACCAGGGTGAGAAATTTTATAAACAACCTGTAAATTATGTTCTTGATTGTTACTTCCATTTTGGTTGCTATGAAGTGAAAGACTAGAACCGCTGTCTGATATTTGCTTTTCTTGAATTCCAACCTCTATTTCACTGACACTTTTCTGAGTTAAAAGAACTGAAAATTCTTTGCTGGATGCATTTGCTACTGAACGACCCAACCTGTCATTAGTGATAATATCAACCTTGACTTCTTCATTTGCTTGACAGCGTCTGACTGAAACAAATTGATCCAGGTAGTTGTCAGATAAGCTAGTATTTTGAGCATCAACTGCAGTTAAGCCGAGAGAGCCAACGCACTTGACCATGCTTAAAAGCTGGTCCAAGTCTGTAGGGAAAAAGGACGTGGTATCAGATTCAGATGGGTGCAAAGGTATGGGAGCAGAAATAAGCTTTTCGATCTCAGCTTTGTGCTTTTGAGCAGCTAGATCTCTTGAAAGAGTGTTTTGAATAAACTTTTGAGTTTGATAAGATATTTCATCATTGGGCGGGGTGTGTAAAAGTCGTTTTAAAAGATCGACGTGTGAAGAAAGTCTTTGAAGCCGAGTCTCAAATTCTGCATGCAACTTCTGTATAGCTTCATTTCGAACGCTTAAACAAGAATCAAGTTCATTTAAAAGATAGTCATGCCTTTCACTAACAGATCTCTGTATCATTTGCATGCTTTGATCGATTTGTCCACGAATTTCCTTTCTAACACATGGGAGATATTCGCTTAGATTTTCCAGTTCTTCACATCTTTCTGAGAGACATTTTATTACATCTTCAGCTAAACGAAGTTTATCGTCTACTTCACAATAATTTGAGTGGGCTTTCTCTATTGTACCATTGATAGAAATATGGGCTCCGAAGTCTTGAGTATTTGTGGATGACGTCAATACCATATCATTGTGTTGTGGATTATCCATTCTCCAGTATCATTCCTAGTAAGGCAACTGTGCGTTTGTGAAGTTTCTGATCCGTTAACTGTGAAACATGTGTCCGACCTGTCGGTAATCATTCAACCAATAGAATTGAAGAGGGCTACTTCGACAACTCACTAATCATGAACATTATGAAGTGAATATCTAGTTAACAATTAACAATGGAGCCTAATATGATTATATTATTATTTCAGACAGATTTATTCTACCTGAAATTGTTTTTGTTTTAATAACCTTGCGATTTCGCTCGTTTTATGAATACTGATGAGTTGCAGGAGGATTTGTAGTTTCGTTCCAGGTGTGTTTCTAATCTTCCTGAAATTATTGTTAATGGTTACTGTAACTTCTTCTTTTGACCATATGTCTAGGTTCACATACACTGAATTTTCAACATAGTGATGTCATATAAGAGATCACCCCTAAAACGTAGTGTGCTTTGGGAAACATTTGGTTCTATTCTGTTTTTCTTCTGCATTCAGAAATTACTGACTACATTAAAATGCCAATTGATGAACGTTAGCTGCTCTTTGTTGTTTTAAAGTGCCATGACTTGAATAAGTGCACTTCCTTTATCAATAGTTGATAATAACGGTGCTGCGTAGTAGATTATAACAATATCGCGATCGATATTTATCATGCCATAGTTTTAAGTACTGTATTTATAGGAGAATACCTTCACACTTAGACACCCGACTTTGCTTTTACCAAGACATATCAATTTATTGCTGTTGTTGCAATATATTCTTCCTTCCTTAAAACATTGTTTCTTATTCTGTGTTAAAGTCACCGGTCCCTTAATTGTAGTCAAATAGCATGATATACGGAAGCTTCTCGAATACTTTTATAATCTCTTAATAAACAATGTACCTGGAAAGCTTGTTTTCACACCTAAACAAACGAAGAAAATATGCGAAGAATTACCAAACTTCAAGAGCTCCATACTTATATGTGGAACATGACGACCAACATAAGCAGTCTCATTCGAGGTTGGGTTTTTAATCGAGATTATTGTTAAGCTGATGTGAAGCGTTAGTCCCGGTGTCGAGAAATATACTTCTATGACAAATTGATTAAGTTCTTAAAAGTTTTGGTTAAGTCAACCGCCTCTCGACTGGGAATTAAAAACAAACCAGCGAGAGCCATACAGGTTGTACTTAGTGCTGACTGAGTAACGCGTGCTAACCAGGTTCTTAAACAATCTCTTACTCTGAAACCACTCTAGGGATAAGCATTTATCAGTTGACCAATAGGCTATATGAGATGATGCTCAATAAAAGGGTACTAAAATAACAAAAATATCCAGAGAATGATAAAATGTGGAATTTGGAGGAATACATTCCCACTTCGGTCACAAACCAGGGTTATTTTCCTACTTGAAACTATTTGCATCATTCTAATGTTAGCTGTTTGTCCCCAACCTACTTAAATCCGGAAGTTTTCATTTAAAGCCGTGTATCCTAGAAGTAGCTGTACCTTTATCGGTTGACAACGCTTCTGAGATCCAATAAATTATTGAAAATTGTCGAGTATTAGTTCGTTTATTAACAAATAGCTGGATATAACGTTAGACTACACTGTCATGTTCCAAATTTAAGTTTGAAGCTCTTGTCTAAAATTCAGTCAGCTACAACGTAATACTTCATACATACATTATCTCAAGTTTTCATACAACATTAACACAGAAAGAATTTTCATTTCAGTAGAGAGTCTTTATAAGGTTGATGTACTTCTCTGATACTCCTTTCAACTATTACCGGACACCTAAATGCTGTTCTGTGACCTAACGTAGTGTGAATATCTGGTCTATACATGCACGTTTAGGTCTGAAACCAGTCTGGTGTTCTCTAGTCAGGCATCGAAGTATTGTTGAAGCTAATATATTCGTCACTTAAACTGACTCCTTTTTTATTGTCACAAGAGTACTTTTGCCCTTTCTTATAGAGAGGTTCATTCAGTGAAACCGGTAAGATGGGATTACGTCCAGTTCACAGATTCTACCTAAGATCTCAGTCTAACTACTAAAACAAGACCACCATCCTTAAAAGTCTTAGGGGTTGACCTACCAGAGTCTGCTGCTCCCCCTCGCTTCAGATTTCCTATAGCTTTTTCAACGTCGTTAAGAGTTGGAGGAGTTACAACAAAATGCCATTCAGGTAGACTGGAGATCGTGGATAACCAAAGTGTCGCTGGGAGCTAGTTAAACTGATCCCTGAAGTGTTCAACCAATCGATCCAATCTCCTGGATTAAGAATGAATAATAGTCACGTCTTTTTCCGAGATAGTTTCACTAACAGTCGGATTTCTAATACCCATTTCCTTCAATGGATAGTTACCTACTGTTAACTATTGCAGTTGCCTTTTCCATCTCTCTTGCTTTCTCTACCGACTACCGTTCGCGATTATTGCGTAACCCTGCCCTTAGGCCGATTCCAGAGGCAGATGGGATGAGTTTCCGAGCATCAGTCACTTCAATAGACGCTACTAAAATCCACTTCTCAACCTCTTGGTTTACGTTACTGGCAGATATCACTGCTGTTTCCATAGCGTTTTGGTTATCATTCCGATCTGCCTCAGAGTGAGCATCACTTACTGGCTGCGCAACTGTTTTTCTAGTTGTTCTTGAAATATACTCTTGGATTTGATATCGTTACATAGAATTCTAAGGGGTTTCCTTGCAGTGAACGCCATGTAAAAAGTTTTTTTTCCTTATGCTTAAAGTTGCTATTTGCTAGAACTAAGCTGTTGTCTGAGCATAATTGCAACAGATGGCTGCCATAATTTTCTTTGAGCTGCGACATGATAAGATCAACCTAGGTGTCGTCTTTCCGTTTCGCTTAGTCTACGTACTTAAACATCAAACTCACCAACCACTATTACCTGAAGGTTGGAAAGCTTTCTCAAAATTCATCTGTTACCTTACCTGGACCCCAATCAGTGGGAGCATGAGCAGAGACAATGAAGAATCAACGGCGAGTCTCACTATCTGTTTGAGTCCTTAATGTCCAGCCAAGTCGAACAGCACACAAGCGACTGTTCACTGGGATCCGGTCTGAGCTAGTTCTACCCTAGGATTCAATGCCATACCTACACCAGCGAGGACACGGAGCAGCATCAGGGCTTTCAGATACAAGGAGCGTAAACTGAGGTAAAGTCAGATTAATGACTCCATTTAAATCCTGTGCGTGCGTTTCGGAGACACAGTATACATCAATGGCACGAGATTCTAGGGTCCTAGCTAAGGAAGCCTGGTGCACAAGGTCAGGATATTAAAAGCCCCAACATGTAGTTTGCAGCGTGGTATCAGGAGACCAGAGATTGTTTCGTGGACTTGAAACGATTGTATCAGCGGTGCGAAATGATAATGGAACGTGAGAAGCGTTAGTTGTGGAGATAAAAAGTTTATTAAAAGTTATAGGAAGGATTTCATTATGATCAATTTTGTATTGTGTTGTTACGGTTATAAGGGCGGATGTCACTTTCCGACTGCTCACACCGTGTAAGGGTGTTCCTTGATGAACCTGATAAAAGGAAGTTGGATTATTGTTGGTCTTAGCGACCTGGTAATGTAACCAAGGGACAACTGTTTCAGGCCGGTCACGCACAGCCTTTTTTGGGAAGTTTCTGAAGTGTTAGCCCCACTCGTCAAAAGCCTTTACCGTTGGAGACGGAAATCCGTGGGGCAAAGTGGGGTGTGACACTTTTAGGGTTGATCTTTTCTAACCCCTTCCTTCCGTTGCGAAAAGCCAGTATTGCTGAAGATGATAGTTGTCCGAGGGTGACACCTTACTCTCTGCAGTCAGCAATACGACTTCGTCTTTAAACTTCAAGGTGCTGTTTTCAATCTTACCGTTCTTGAATCGACTTGCTTGGCATGGTAGACAGACAGACAGATACAACGCAGAACTTCGTACGTACGTACATCAATTCAGGTTGCCATACCACATCAGCACAGAGACGCAACTGTCAGTTCAAATCCAATAGTGGTAGTGATAGTAGAAGTATTATCAGTAATGGAGAAGATTAGGGAGCGAAGATATGTTTCGAGAAGCATAATTCAGTAAGATAAATTCAGAAGGAGAAAGGTAGAGATTATGAGAAATTCAGAAGGTTAGAATTAGCGAGAACACAAAGAGTGGATACACCCGCGCCATTGCAAACGATTTCCAGCCATGTCGTTCGAGGTCTCTAACCATTGGTGACTTTCGTCTCGCGGAACCCAACCAAGTAGCCTACATCTACCAACATGACTCAGTCCACTTGTCAGTGACTTCTTGGATTTGTGCCATGTTTTAGTTTGGCCGTCCCTAACTTTCTTCCAACCTACTCCTACACCGCGAGACATGGCTCGTCGAGGCAGTCGATGGTTGGCATTCGTAACACATGTCCCAACCACCTCAACTGATGAAGTTTCAATACTTCATCTATTGATTTGCCATCCCTACCTAGAACTCGTTTCCTAACGACAGCATTGCTTATACGGTCGTCCTAGGATACACGATCAATGCTTCGGAGACACTGATGATCGAAGACTAGTAACCTACAGAAGTACTCTACTCTCACCGGCCATGTTTCGCATCCGTATAGTAGGACGAAGCAAACTGCTGAACAGTACACTCATCCTTTGGTTAGCAAACGGACATCTCGCCTGCGCCTTAGGTGACGCAGGTTGGCGAAAGCCTTCTGTATCCGAGCTGAGATTTCTTCAGTCACCAGGCCATCAGCACTAATGAGACTCCCAAGATAAGTGAAGCGGTCAACACGCTCATCTACTTCACTTCATACCACTAGTTCAGATGCCAATGCAACCCAATCTTGAAGCAACATTTTGCATTTCGAGGGTGAGAACCGCATCCCGAACATGCATGCATTGCTGCTTAGGGTAGTCAGAAGACTGCATTTTGTCAGCGTCTTCACCAAATAGAACTATGTCATCAGCATATTCTAGGTCAGTAAGCGATTTTCCTGGTAGAAAGTCGACTCCTGAAAAGTCGGACGAGGATAAGGTTATATCTAGCAGCATGTCTATGACGAAATTAAACAAGAATGGGGAAAGTGGACATCCGTGACAGACACCACTTGAAGTTCTACGAGTTAACTGTTAGAAACCTTGAATCAAATCGTTCCCACTAATTATCACCTGAACTCCTGTTTCTAGTCTCTCAGTGTTAGTATGAAGTGTGTCACCATTAATCAATACAGACCCTACTTTGTTGATAACCATTTTACACAAGCAGATTGCTAAAGCTTCTTTAAAAGCGTTATGTGTTTATTCTCTCTCTTATCATCATTTATGTCTTCATGATTTATTGCCGTAACCACATGAGTTATCTCTAATTACGCCTGATGTCCCGAGTTTTCTTTTTTTTCACTAGTGACGCTTGGTAAGATTTCAAGTAGTTAATAATAGCTTAACGTTTAAGACAATATTTTACAAAAGAATGATTTGTTTCTTTAATTGTCATGTTTCTGTAGTTATAGGATCGTTTCGTCGATCGTGCTACAATAGTACTCGCAAAAACATACTGTTAGATGACAATACTAAATTGATATGTCAAGGGTTTACTGGAAAACAGGGAACTTTTCATTCTCAACAAACTCTTGATTATGGCACAAAACTTGTTGGCGGAGTTTCACCTGGTAAAGGTGGCAGTACCCACCTCGGATTACCCGTTTTCAACTCCGTGAAGGAGGCTAAGGAAGCTACAGGTGCAACGGCTTCTGTTATTTACGTACCTCCACCTCATGCTGCCGCTGCCATCCATGAAGCTATTGATGCACAGATTCCCCTTATTGTCTGCATAACTGAAGGTATTCCGCAGCATGATATGATACGCGTACGAAAACGTCTTCTTGAACAGGTAACGTAGTTGTATAATTTCAGTCGTGTTATTTATTCTCGGGAATACTGTAGGACGTATGTTAATCTCTAGAGCAATGATAAAGTCTAAAGTAGCAAATAAGCAATATATTGTGAGAGGAAAGTAAAAGAAAATCCCTAGATCAAAAACAAGTAAATCTGTCACAACTCATACTTATGAGACGTAAAACATTCAAAAATAAATTCGTAGTTTTCTGTGATGTTCTGAAGTTGTTTTCAAGTTCATTTCTTATATCTATCAGTTACCTAGCAGACCATCCTTAGCAACTAAATTATCACTGATATTGTATCGAAAAAAAGTTATCCGGTTTTGTCTGCTTTAATTAAAAACTGATATTCCTTCTGGAGCAAACCTATTTGTTGAATTTAAAGCGACTCGTCAAAACTTTTACTTCCTGTACCGCTACCGAAATAAAAATCCATATTATATTTAAAGTATCCGATGTTTCTAAATGAGCGTATTCACAATACATTTAAAGTCATGCACTTAGTATTTCATCTTGGACAGTAGCTACTACTGTTCTTTTAAGTTATAACTTTTTGTTAATCTTATATTGAAAAATTCTTGACAGTATATTCTTAATTAACTCATATGATAAAGCTTTAGTAGAGAACAGTGTCAACTCAAATTAGAAAGTCTATTATATTCACATACAATTGAGCTTAGTGTACTATTGAACCAGTACTATCTTATTTACATGTGTATCCACCACCTAAATTATACACTGTCTATGTACTGCTCATAACTTTGAACACTATACTAGATGTATTCAATCAACTAATGTATATATACGACCAGCCAATGTGATAATGCTAGATGGTCAACCTGCTACCTCCCTAAAGATCTTAATAAAAACTGACGAATCCTAAGCATTACTTAATGAAGCCTGTTACTCATGAAGCACAGACTACCTACTAGGATTTTCTATTTCTCTCAGTCCTGAGCTCTCTTTTCCACTCGTTCCCAATCGGTATTCATTCTTTTCATGTCTGTATCCAGTTCTCAGCGTAATGTGTCCTTTGATCTTCCTCTTCTTCGTTGGCCTTGAGGATTCCAAGTTACGGCTTGCCTCGTAACACAATTGGGTGATTTCCATAGTGTGTCCTAACCACCTTCAGCGCACTTTCCTAATTTCTTCCTCAGCTGAAATCTGGTTTGTTTTCTTCTATAATAGGCTTTTGCTGATGGTGTTTGGCCAACGAGTCCTCAATTTCTTGTGTAGACAACTGTTAATGAACAGTTGTGTCTTGTGGATAATGGCTTTGGTAGTTCTCCAAGTTTTCTCTCCATACAATAGAACTGTGTTGACATATGTATTGGAAATTGCAACTTTGGTGTTTTCTGAAAGTTGTTTAGAGTTTCAGACGTTCTTCAGTTGTAGAAATATTGCCCTTGCTTTACCGATCCACACCTTCACATCAGCTTCGTATCCACCTTGCCCATCAATGATGCTGCCCAGATATGTAGGAGTTTCTACCTCTTGCAAAGCTTCTCTGTGAAGTGTGATTTGGTCAGTGTGTCGTGTGTTCTATCTGATGGTCTTACTTTTCTCGTATGTATTCTGAGACCTGCTGCAGAGGCTGTTGTTACACTGGTCGTCTTCTCGTGCATTTGCTGTTGCGTCTCGTATAAGAGATAAAGATCATCTGCAAAGTCCAATTCATCTAGCTGCATCCGAACTGTCCACTGCATTCCGTGCTTCGCCTCAGGTGTTGATGTCCCCATAATGCAGTCACCCATCAGTCGAAAAAGAAAGGGTGAGGGTAAGTGACCTATGATATCAGTTTTCTATTAGAATAACTCTGTAAGCTGTCCTCCACGTGCGATTTGGCTGTGTAGTCCGTGGGAATCCCGTATGATATTGACTGTCTTCTCAGGCACACCATAGTTTTGAAGAAGCCTCTGCAGTGTCATCCTGTCCACGTTACCAGATGCACCTCGTAGTCAAGGAAGTGGATGTACAGTGGTGCGTCGCATTCAAATGATTATTTCCCAATGATCCATAGTGTTGTGATTTGGTCCGTACACGATCGATCTTTACGGAATCCAACCTGTTAATCTCGAAGTTGGGTGTTTACTGAACCTTTCATTCGGTTTAACAGCAATCTGTTAAAGACTCTTTCGGGTTTGAGATTAGAGTAATGCCTTTGTAGTTCTCACACTTGCTGATATCTTTTTTGATATGTTGATAAGGTATCCTTCTTTCCAGTCTGTTTGGATTTATTCTTCCTTTTAAATCGTTCTAAACAAAGTGTGAAACATCTTTGTAGTTACTGCTACGTCTGCTTTCAATGCCTCAACTAGTATATTGTTTGGACTCCTGCTCTGGCACTCTTTATTTTCCTGATGACCATTTTGGTCTCTTCAATTGTTGGTAGGTCAACATCAATTGGGAGGTATGTAGGTGATCCTTAGATGTTGGGTGAATTTAGTGGGACTTGCCCATTCAAGAACTCTTCAAAGTGCTCTACCCACCTATTTCACTGTTCTTGAATGTTGGTCATTGCTTTGCCTTCCTTGTTATTCACTGGTTGTTCTGGTTCGCCATATTTTCCTGCGAGCCTCTTCGTTGTGTCTTATAGTTGCCTTATGTTTCCTTCTCTTGCAGCTTCTTCTGCTGTCGTTGCCAGATCTTCCACATAGTTTCGCACATCAGCTCTGATGCTTTTTTCCTTTGCTTATTTGCTTCTGTGCATTCAGCTTATGCTTTGACTTTCCCTGCTCTTGTTCGGCAGATATTGATTGTTGTCTTCCTATTCTTCCTTTCTTACTTCTTATCCAGAGTGTCCATTGAGATCCATTCCTTGTGATGTTTCCTCTGGTTCAAAACCTCATGACACGCCAAAATTATTGCTTTGTCGACCCCTTTCCAGTTGTTCTCCACGGTAGTTTCCTCTTCATTGAGTCGATCGTCAAAGGCTTTAAATTTATTGCTGACAGCTTTCTTGAATTCTCTAAATTTGCCAGTATCTCGAAGAAAGCCCTATTAAACTTCTATGATGCTGTTCGACCAGTTGTCCAGTACTTTCTGAGTTTCAGTTTCATCTTTGCCACTACCAGGTTGTGATCTAAAGTTATGTCAGCTCCTCTTTTGGTTCTCACATCCTCCATGATCCTGAACTTTTTATTGATGCGGATGTGGTTGATTTGGTTCTAAGCATTATAATCTGCTAATGTGTCACAAGAAGTTACTATTTATCTCATGGTATGTAACCGCTAGAAGCAGCGTCTTTTTTACATTTCTTTGTTTGAACTAAATTTATCAGTTTTCATACGTAATAATGCGAAAGGATGAGTTTTCTCGTAAATTTAATATGGGGCCACCACGTAAAAGTACATCGTGGATACTTTCTAAGGATCATATGGTCAAGTAGTCTGCAAACACGTGTATTTCCAAAACAGATTGTCAGTGATTGTTTATATCTTTACGACAAGCGAGATTGTGCGTTTTCTCTGATAAATGGATTGTCTGTATAATCTATATGCTGTTATTGTTAATAATTCGGATTGTTTTAGTTTAATAAGAAAGCTATACTAGTGTCTACAGTCAGTTCAATATACTTAGTTCACTCAGCACTCGTTAATTATATTCCAAATGCTATTTTTTTAATTCATCTCCAGTCTGCTTCACGATTAATTGGACCAAATTGTCCAGGAATAATAAAACCGGACCTATGTAAAATCGGTATTATGCCTGCGGATATTCATAAACCGGGAACGGTAGGAATAGTATCCAGATCGGGGACATTGACTTACGAAGCTGTCTTTCAAACTACACAGGTATTTTTGACAAATTATCTAGTATATGTATATATTTCAGCATTTGACAATCGCTTAAGTTATTTTACTGAATTATTAACTATTATCCCTGTCAGCTAACCAATAAATATTGGCTCGTTTAACTCGAAAACAACTGGAACTAGTATTCCCTTAAGCAGTTGTCGGTCTATCTTGTCATTTGATATAAAAGTACGCAAAATCTGACTATATGTGTGTCCATATTAGCATTTTGGCTAGATTTCTGATTTTCAGTATCTTTCTTGATTAAACTTAGAATAAGCTAGGGTGTATGACTTTTCTGAAAGCCTTTAATTCGCTATCTGGGGTTTATTTTCTTCATACTAGATGATATTTATAACTTAAGATGTGTGTGTTAACAAAATGCTAATATTAGCACTATCATGACAAGTAAACATGTTTTTTGAAGCGAGTTCTTTTATGTTTTAACTCAAGTTACCTATCAAATAAAGAGTTATACACTTGTCCATCGGTTGCGCTTACATTGGAGCTAATTAGTATACTGTCTATCTGATCAAACTGGTGTAAGTATAGCGGGATTCAAGTTGCATATGGAAGTTCTGTCATTTCTGCTTCTACTATAAATTTATGACTACATATTAGCTAGTGTTATATCACAACCATCATCACATTATTTACATTGAATTCACATTACTTCTAGATTGACTAAGTAGATTTTTCTTCACTTAGAAGTTTATCCATACAGTGTATGTACACCACATATATTAATTAGTCTACCAGAAGTTATCATGTTTGTTTTGTCAAAAAATTTTAATGCATGCAATATTTGCTAAGTGGGGAATTCTATAGAGTGTTCATAATGTAATCAACACTCATGATTTCAAAATATCTCACATATATTACACTTGTTAATAATTCCAAGCCTGCAATTAATTTGTGATTCAACCGCTCAAACAGTACTGATCTATCAAATGGAATAAAATAAATCATATCATAGATATTAAGTATGTTCTGCTTCATATAGACTTGATAATGTAACTTATGTAAATAACAGGACAAATACAAGCGATTGATAATTGTCGCGATAAAGTCCAAAAATAAAAAGTTATCCTAGTTACACAAAATCTGATATTCTCAATACGAATTTAGTCATATAATGCAGTTCACTCCAAACAGAAGGCTCTACATCTACAATTCAAATGAATAAATTGGAATAGTCAAAGTAAACAACAATAAGAGCAAGAGCTCTCTCTATGTAGCTAGAATAAAATGACCGAAATAGATATCATTAATTCTCATGGTTGTTTAGGTTATACGTGAAAGATTAAAGTAATCAATCATAAAACAAGTCAAAAACTGTAAGATGCTCAACAGAATTAGATCAGTGATTCGTCATGACAGGAGGCACATTTATTAAAAGTAAGCACATGGAGTGACGAAAAAGTAGACTGTGTAAGATGCACAATATGTGGATAAAAACAATGTATCACTAGGCTGTAGAGCATATTCAACAGTAGACAATAACAACATTAAACTGAGTTAAATTCGTGAGGTCATCTAGTTTTGGCAGGACTCACATCGATTGTGACTAATCGACCTAGTAATTGTAAAATCACAACATGAAGGGTAAATCGAGTTGCTTCTTTATCTTGACATGGTGAGATCAAGTGAATGATGCTACTCGGATCCTGTTTGTGCGTTTCCGAGACGCAGCACACATCGATGGCGTGAGATTCTAAAGTCCTAGCTAATGAAACCAATATAGCTCGGTCGGGTCATCGCGGTAGGCGAGCCCGACCACCATGTCAAGGTAGCAGCTTCGGTCGGGAGTAGGTTGGAAGAATGCTAGGGGCAGCCAGACCAAAACATGGCAGAAATCCATGAAGTCACTGACAAGTGGACTGAGTCATGTTGGTAGATGTAGACTACCTGGTTGGGGTCCGCGAGACGATAGTCACCAACGGTTAGAGACCTTGAATGACATGGCTCAAAATCGTTTGCGATGGCGCAAGTGCATCCATTCGTTGTGCTCTCTCAAATCCTAATCTTCTGGAATCGTCAGCACCTCTACCTTTTTCTTTCTAACCTTATCTCACTGAATTATACTTCTTGAATAATATCTTCAAACCCTAGTCTTCTTCATTACCATATTAATACCTCTACTATCTTTATCACTATGAGATTTGATTTGACATTTGCGTCTCTTTGCTAATGTGGTATGTCAACATGAACTGATGTACATACGTACGAAGTTCTACGTTGCAACTGACTAAAACTCACGACATCCACGTTTGTGTGAACACTGAAAGTGTTAAAAAAAAATTATACTGTCACAGAAGTTTCCTAATAGAAACCAACTTTAGTCTACTATAGTGCAATGGTGGCTCCTGGTTGTTTTATTATTATTCTTTAGCTTCACAGAATAAACAAAGTTAATGTATCAATGTAATGCAAGTGAAATTTCATTGAAGATAGGTCGTTTTTCCACGAAGGTTTTCTTCTTTTTTTCCCAGCTACTTCATACAACATATTTTTTGTATGGCCATCATAATCTAGAAATTCCGAACGTATTTTTTTCCATTTGTAATCAACTGTAATATGTGTTCAAAATGTAGCAATTTATATTTTCACTCTGAGATAACATGTGAAGTAATTTATTACAATTATGCATCACTTTAAATTGTAGGTTGGTCTCGGTCAATCTCTGTGTGTTGGAATCGGTGGTGATCCGTTTAATGGAACAGATTTTGTCGATTGTCTTGATATATTTTTAAACGATCCTAATACAAAATCAATAATCTTGCTTGGTGAAATCGGTGGTGATTCAGAAGAACAAGCTGCAGAATTCTTAAAAAAGCATAATACTGTAAGTTTTTGTATTCTCAACCTGTTTCAAAGTTTCTTTACACATATGTTGAATTTTGACCTACAATAAATAAGTACGGAGCACATCAAATCAGAAACTTCATAGCTTAGTGTATGTACATTGTAAGTTTGGCTCAGAAAGGACATATTTCTTCTGTTCGTAATCAGATGTAAGACTATGTATGCACCGTCCACTTTTCGAGATTGGAATGCAGAAAAATGAAAGAAAAAAAACTATGCATGAAGAATACTGTTAACATACATAATATTTTATGAGAAATAAACATTGTAACAAAACTATTGTATAAATATAATTGATAAATATTTGTAGCCACAGAAGATAAAAAGTGCCGCTTACTCAAAGTGAACCAATATAAAATCAAGAGGAACTAAGCGTTTGTTCATCTATTTATTAACTTATGAAATAGAAAGTGTTATTTTAATAAAAAAAAGTATCAATAACTGGGCTGTTAATGTTGAGGACCTTACATCCCCAGAACTCACTTGATAAAGGTCCTAATTTTGGATTTTATGTTTTCGAGCATGGTTACTCTCTAAACATATTGCTCAAGTATTAACGAATTTGTGCAATCTTATCGAATGTGGTGATTGTGACATGTACTGAGTACGTTCAAACACCACTTACACCTCCGCATGTTGCTTCAGGAGTAGATTGGAAAAAATGTATGGGATATTATTTCATGTCGTCATTGACTCTTGGTCTGATTTATGTGCTTACTTAATTTTTATTTTGAATGATATTATCCGTATTTATTAGTCGTGTAGTAATAAATTTATAAAGTAGTTTACTAGGAACGTGTGAGTACTGTTTATGATCACAATGCTAATCATTTTAATAGTTTATCAAGGTTATACAAATCATGACACGTATACTACAACCTGAAATGCTCCCTGTAAATTAGTTGTTCATACTTCTGTAAACTATTTATAACTTCCCTCGATATTTTTTTTTTGTTTTTAGGGTTCAAAACGCAAACCAGTTGTATCTTTTATTGCAGGCGTTACAGCGCCACCTGGACGTCGTATGGGTCATGCTGGAGCTATCATTTCACTAGGTAAGGGTGGCGCCAAAGAGAAAATGGCAGCTTTAGAAAGTGCAGGTGTTGTTGTCACACCTTCTCCAGCTCAACTAGGTAAAACTCTCTTGCAAGTAAGTGTTTGTATATCCTTTTTATTACTTTAATTTAACAAAGTTAGTGTTTAAACGATACGCTATCATTTTATTTAAAACAATGTATTTATTTGAGACTATTCTTATTACAACACTTGCCGCTGATGGTCGCGTACTAACTTAGTTATAATTTCATATCTGAATATTTCTATTAACACTTTAAAATATACATATATATGTAATCTTTCTAATAATTATTCCTTTCAAATTTTCATTGTAGGCCATCGCAAATTTCCCGAAATCGTAAAAAGACTTATTGTTTGCTAAATTTTCTGAAATATAAAGAAGATTATTTACTATACTCTTCATTATTATTTGACTTTACATCTTACTTCAGTTAGAAATGTTTCACTGACAAACGCTACCAATGTGTTTATACCCTAAGTATTTTACTTATGTTGTTAGTTCTTATCTCTGTAGCAATTTGTTTTAACTCCTCAAATCGATCAAGTTTATGCAACTAAATATTCAACTTATAATTAACCGTTGTTCAGTCAGTTTAGATAAATGAGTGCATTGTCTTTTAATTTCATAGAATTGTATTTCTCTCATTTGTACATGCTTGCATTGTTTGTGTAAAACTTTAAGTTTATTGTGTTACAAGTTAACATAGAGTTGATGTGAAAATATTGCATTCTCAAGAAATCGCTTATATTAATAACAACCCTGTGTTTTCTAGTGAGAAGCCATGATCAGTGAAGTTCGATCTGTGTTCACTGAGACAGTTATCCACCACAGGCAATAAATGGAGAGTTGCATGAAATCATGGATCAGTCAATGTTAGATATTAAGATCTATGCATGTGACTCGGTAGTCTATAGGTTAAGTGTTTTCACGCAAGATAGAAAGTCTTGAGTTCATCTCCACGTACCTGGTCGTAGAGACAGACGCAGAACTTCGTACGTACGTACATCAGTTCAGGTTGCCATGCCACATCAGCACAGAGACGCAACCGTCAATTCAAATCCAAGAGTGATAGCGATAATAGAAGTATTAGCAATAATGGAGAAGATTAGAAAGCAAAGATATGATTCGAGAAGTATAATTCAGTAAGATAAATTTAGAAGGAGAAAGGTAGAGATTATGAGGAATTCAGAAGCTTAAAATTTCATAGAACATAGCTATGCTATCACGAACTAGGACCCTAAGAGGTTTCCTTACGGTGTCTTTCGTACGTCCGGAAAGTCGCTAACAAATACGCGCTCGCGCTAGAGCATGATGTGAATCTAAACATGTGCCCCAGAACGAGCGACAGTCCTCTATTGAACCCCTCCATCGGTAGCTGATGGCAATGTGTCTAGTTGGGTCCAGAGTTGAGACGACTTTTGGGGCCGCCATGTCAAGAGATGTTTTTCCTTATGCTTAAAGTTAGTGTTTGCCAGAAATAGGCGGTTATCCGTGCATAGTTGCTTCAGACGGACGCCATTGTCTGTTCTTTGAGCCGCGACACCATAACATCCACCCAGGTATCTTTCCTTCTCACTTAGTCTACCTACTTGAGCATTAAAGTCACCAGCCACCACTATATTGGAGCGCCCAACTTTTTGGAGGAGGTCCGAAAGCTTTCTGTAATACTCATCCTTCACATCGTCGGAACTGTAGTCAGTGGGAGCATAAGCAGATATGACGAAGAGGCGACGGCGTGTATCCCTATCTTTCCGAGTCCTTACTGTCCAGTTTAGTCGGACAGAGCACAAGCGACTATCTGTTGGGATCCAGTCTAGTAGAGATAGTTCAGCTCTAGGACTAGCATTAAAACTGTTAGCTCCGCTCTTCAAATGGCGGTACCGCTGAAGATGGAAATCCACGAGGTAAAGTGAGGTGTGCTATTTTAGTGTCAACACTTTTCCGTTGTCAGAAGGCAGCATCGTTGCAAATGCTGGTTGTCCGAAGGAAACACCTTACTGCTGTCACACCTCTCTGCAGTCAGCAGCCCTTAGGCCTTGAGTAGATGTTTTTAGTCTCATCGTTCTCCAATCGACCTGCCTGGTTGGTAAAACCAACAGGAAGATATATTCCAACCAATATAGCTCGACTGAGTCATCACGATAGGCAAGCACAACCACCACGTTAAGGTAACAGCTGCGGTTAGGACTTTCGTTAGATATTCTCTTTAACTCCAAATTCCAACCACGAGTGGTTAACTAGATATAATATAGATGCAGGCGCCAGAAAACAGAATCTTAGCACAATTAAACAAGACCAATAGTGCCAATGCCTCACCTCACTTGACACAGGCTTTTGCGTATATCTGGGCGATGGTTTGGATATGGCTGTTTACAACAGTCAGGAAAGCCACGTGATTTTATAACTTCATATTACTCGAAACGACATCTTCTTCAGTAGTTATCAAAAAAATATTTATTTTTTCTAAACTGGATTGCTCAACAATCGAAAACAATTCCTAATTTCTGCTTGTTTATACAGTAACAGAGTAGAAACATTTCGTGATGTTATATTTGAAAAATAATGTAAACTAGTAATATCGTTCAATAAAAGCTCAATAATTATTAATTACACAGTTGAAGTCAATATCATTGAAAACCTGCAAGCACTGGATGCCCGTTCCATCTTAATATGGGACTCCTCAACAGTGAATATTTACGACCGTACCTGGTCGTAAATATTCAAATCAATAGATGAAGAAGTGAAACTTCATCAGTTCAGTTGGATTTGAACTGACAGTTGCGTCTCTGTGCTGATGTGGTATGGCAACCTGAACTGATGTACGTACGTACGAAGTTCTGCGTTGTATCTGTCTGTCTGAACATGATGGAGAACGAATTCAGCTTAAGCGCAGACTGATAAATTTCTACGTTGCATCTGACTGACTACGAAACGACCGTGAACAGTGGTGGCTGGCGAAAGCAAAAGCGATTTAAAAGGCAGCGGCAATAGGCGACAGTAGACAGTTGTTCCACCTTATCAAGGAAACCGGTATTAGAAAACCGTCTGATAACGAGACTGTCTCAGAAAAGGATGGGCTTATAATTCATTGTCAGTTCAGGAAATCGGATCGATGGGTAGAACAATTCAGTAGGCCTTCAGCCACACTTCGGTTGCCCACGATCTCCAGTCATCCTGAATGGCAAATCAATATAAGTCTTTTTGAAGTCGGAAAAGCCATAGGAAATCTGAAGCGAAGGAGAGCAGAAGGGTCTGACAGACTTATTCTTGAGATTTTTAAGGATGGTGGGCCAGTTTTAACAGTTAGACTGAACGAGATCTTAGGTAGGATCTAGGAACTAGGCGTAATCCCATCTGACTGGTCTCAATCGCTGATTGTCTAAATTTACAAGAAAGGGCAAACGTCCTCTTGTGACAGTCACAGAGGAGTCAGCCTAACTAATATAGTATCGGAAATATTGGCCTGAATAATACTCTGACGCTTAACGAAAGCTCGTAAAGAGCAGACTAGAGAAAACCAGTCTGGTTTCAGACCTGGACGTGGATGCATAGACCACATCTTCACACTACGACAGGTCCTGGAACGCACACACTTCTAGGCGTCCTACACTAGTTGTATTCCTGGACCTAAAGACGGCATTCGACTCAGTGGATCGTGAGGTTCTGTGGTAGTGTCTGTCATTGAAATGTGTACCAAAGAAGTATATTACCTTTTACAAGCTCTCTACTCGAATACCACAGGTCGAGTGAGAGCCTATGACAAACTGTCATCGGAATTCTTTGCTTCAAGTGATGTCCATCAGGACTACCCCGTCTCTCCATTCTTGTTTAACCTTGTCGTAGATATGCTTTTAGAGTTAACATGTCATCGCCAGACCTTTCAGGTGTGGACCTTCTACCAGGAGACACGCTTATTGACTTGCTGGTGTGTGACGAAATCTCAGTACGGATACAGAAGGCTCGATTGGCTTTTGCCAACTTATGTCACTTATGGCGTAGAAGAGATATCCGTTTGCTGTCCTACTACTTGGAGGCGAAATATGGCCGGTGAGAATAGAGGACATTCGTAGGTCATTATTATTCGATCATGGGTGTCTCGGACGCACAACTCGTATATCCTAGGACAACCGAGTAAGCAATGCTATAGTTAAGAAACGAGTACTAAATAGGGATGGCAGACTAATTGATGAAGTAGTGAAACTTCATCAGTTGAGGTGGCTGGGACATGTGTTACGAATGCCCTATCACCACTATGGGATTTGAATTGACAATTGCGTCTCATGATACATGACTAAATTTAAGAGCATTATATTAAGCAATGCAAATTACACTAACGTCACAATCGTAACGAAACTCAAATTGTTAACTCGTGATATCTATCTGAATATAAGAAAAAATCGAGGTAGAAACCTTAAAAAAAACAACTGAATGTGCTATCACGTTTGTTTAATTGCTATGAGTTCATGCGTAACTGCATAAGTTTGGCTTAAAGCTTTTTTTAAATCAATATTTCTAGAATTTTTCCAAACGTACAGTAAATTATTTCTCAATGGTAATTTCACATTTCCAAACTAATTTTGCCAGGAAAATCGATGTCTATGGTAGTAACATCTACAAGATGTACAGAATTTTCCTGAGCAAGAGCGAATAAAACTTGTTGAAGGCTCAGCTTAGACCAAGGATGAAGTAACCGCTTTCCTTGTTATGATGAAAACCAGATAGAAAATGATTATTAATAAAATAATTGGCGTAACATATTTAGACAATTGTGTATTTACTGGTGAATAACACTGATATAATGTAGGTAATGAAGAGAAGGGTGACTGAAGCATAATAGCGAGAATCGATTGAAGTTACAAATGCAGTTAGCTGTTCATTGATCTGTGCTCTTAGAATAACTAGACTCCATGGGATATGGGTTTGATTCCTTGGTGGATTCTGAGTGTGGACTGTCAATAAGCTCCATACTAAGTGGAAACAACATTTTTTATTCTAGTTTTCAACAATTGTTTAGTTAAAGTCAATCCTCAATGTTAAACATCTTCGAATTCGTTGACCTATCCAAACCTTTCATACAGTAAATAAATAATTCGGAAAGTGAAAAGAAATGTGTGTATATACAGTTTTTTAATGTATCAAAATAAGAGGATTCAGTATTTGCTTAACTGAAAATCAGCACTATGGGGTTGATCAAGCTACTGTCGCACATATAGATTTAGGACACAGCTAGTTCAGATAGTAAGACACGGCGATTTAAGTTTATCTTAACTTCAAAAATCAGAGATTGTAACACCTAACAATTTCAACAAAGCATAGAAAGACTACTACAATACACAAAATCTCAAACAAGGTACCTACAGTTTATCTAAACGTGTAGACATTTAGAATTAACCAGAAAGGAATATGTTAGCGGTGACCGTGGCCAAGTCAATGATCAGCATATTCACTAAAGCTCGTCCGCACTTGATTTCGAAACATCATGTAACTTCGAAATATCGCACTTGTCTAGTTTCGATCCGTATATCATTAACAGTCTTCGGTTACCGGACTCTACAAGGACAAGTGGTAAAGTAGCGAAACCACCAGGAGTAAGTAGATGAACAACTATACATACATAAAAAGGGCTAGTTACAACAGCTTTCCTCTAAATTTATCAAGAAACACTGGCTGAAGGAAAATACTAGTCTAAATACTGATCCAGAAATAAATTAATTACCTGTTAAAAACATTATCGTTGAAGTTTACGATCATGTCATC